AATTTATAAATAAAAAAAAACTTTAATGTACCATGTTTTTTTTAAATTGTCATGCATTGTCCTCCACTTCTGAGCTATGGTCCAAATTTCCAATCATCTGGAAGTTAGTTTAAAATCAATTACAAAATTCCACCCGGACAGACATACAACAAAGAGAGTTAATAAAAATTTTTAAAAAAACATGGTAAAAACGAGATGCTGGGAAGTTGATAAATAATATAGTTATTTGGGATTTCGAGTTCCCTTTCTATGAAAATGCAAAATAATCAGTAGATCGTGTAATTATAGAATGATATGGCAATCTCTTGTTAAATTGACCATTTGTCTAGACTTTTCACTACTGTAGGAGTGCTTTCTTCTGCTTAAGGCTCCCATCTGCCGGCTATTTTTAGTTCATTAACGTAAAATGCTAGTTCTATATAAAAACTCTATTTTTTCTTTCTCCCTCCTTCCTGTGCATTTTATTACACTCAAATAGATTTAGTAGTTTAGGGTGAAGGAGGAAAGTAAATTTCCATAGGATTAACATTACTCTTCGAATTCAAAATGGCCATTAGAGAGTTTTAACTGGTAAAATAAAATTTTCTTGCACATATTATTACAAACTTTCCAACAAGTAATGAAAAATAATTCATTAGAATATATTTTAATCTAAAAACACTGTCTTATTTTTTACAGTACTGTATAAGGAGGAGGAGGAGGAAATTTTTATGACACTGTTGAATTTCTGGTTGGATGTTCGAAACATTCACCATTAAATTTGATTCAATATCTTTCCGATATATTTTTCCGTTGTTCTCGAAAGACAAAAATGTGTTATGTAGAAATAAATGTAGAGAAAAAAATATATTTTCTTCTTTAAAAAATGTTTCCAAAAATATTATCAATAACAAATTTTTGCTTTCGCCGAAAAAAAAGTTTCTTCTACTGAACAATATATTTCGTTAAATGTATGAATGAAAAATAAAGCTGTGATATTAACGAAAACAAGCAAATTATTTTACTTAGCAAAATAGTTTCTTATGATTCGTTAATAATATAAGATGACTTTATTAGTGTGAGAAGGAACTGTAAAACCTGTAATTTTTTATTTTAGTATGCAGCTAGGACGAAATTTGCGCATTTCTGCTCTCTAAGTCAAAGGAATAATTCTGCAGCTTTCTTTTCCAGTTAAAAAAGTTTATTTACAATGTTTAATTAATTGGCATACAGAGAGAGGGGAATGGCTTATTTTTAAAGAGCCCTTGAGGGATGCACGTGTTTCCAATAAAAATAAAATATAGCCAACTCTTGCAAAAACTGAAAAACTTAATAATTATAAGAAATTAGTTTCTTATTACTTTCTGACTACGTCGTCCCTCTAGGCCATTCCCTATAAGAAATCCGATCATGAACGTATGTAGAATTTAGATATGCACATTGTTACATCTGGTGATTTCAGTCAGATAAAGACAATGGTTTTGCCTTTCAAAAACTTTATTGCGAGACGACACGGACACGATACGCACATTAAACATATATGATTAAAACTTAGGTTGTAATATTAGGGCAACCGACCCTACAATTACAGATTACAACTGTACCAAACGGTAGATCACCTACCACTGAGCTCTTACACATAACAAAACAAAAGTTTCGCGTTACAGAGCAGCGCCCTCAATACGACACTTTTCAACATACATAATTTGATTCTCTGGTGTGTTGAATTGGCGTCGCACAATAAAGTTGAACGAAGGCTATTAACGATGGACTTCGTAATTTTCAAATATGGTCTAGTGACGAGAATGATACTAGTCTGATTATGCCACTCTAACCACACTACACTAGCTGGAGACATTTGAATCTCGACAGGTTTAACGTGCAACGACCCCCTCTACACGGTGGGTTTTCAGCAGCACAAGGTCTTGACCTCTAAGCAATCGCTGCCCCGGAAACTATTAATTAATTATTTGATTTTCTAAAATTACTTTAACGAAGTTTGTTATTTATTGTTATAATTAAAATTTAAAGGTACAAGAAAATTCATATAAATTAATCAACAAGCAGCTATAATTTTCATTTTCTTCAAATTTTGCTTGCTGATTAGTTCAATGATCAGCAGCTCTTTCAATGCGGCTTTCAGTTTTATATTTTCATCACCAAAATATAAGCCCCCTCCTTCCCTTTTTCGGGGCTGCCTTATAATTCGATGTTTAGCTATTTTATTTACTAACTATCCTAAGCAATTTACAGCTATTTAAATTTATATAAGGAAATAGTTATTTTTTCACAATCAACAGCGAAAGGAATAATCGAAGTTTTTCAAAATTGGATATACAAATATTTTGCATTTTGGCTTAGAAACGAAAATAAAGTGATCAGTAGTTCAATAATTACAGTATGGTAATCAGTGTTTTTGCACTAAAGCATATAATTTTAAGAGACTGTGATTCAAATCACAAGGAACAATAATGGCGCTTCAAAGGTACAGTGTGAATCGCGAAAACTTGTCCTAATGTAGACCGTAAGGTGGTCGAGTTTATGAAAACGCCGGGTTATCTAGAATGAGATTGGAAAAGGAATGAGTTCGAGTGTACTCAGAAAATATTGTGCTGCACTTGTATGTATTGTTTGATTGAAGTACAGAAAATCGCCTTGACCAAATACCTTAAACAAAGGGAAAGTGCGTGCTATGAGGCACTGACATTTTTACATGGAAAAGAAAATTAATCAATGCATAGTATGCAGTTATTTACCTATACTTTATGAAGGTGTAAAGCTGTCTGTAACCGTGACGGGTCCATATCCGCGTTTTTCCTAATAATCCTCTTGGGAATGCTTTCTTTGAATATTATTTAATTAATAACTTCCTCCCGAAGAAGAAGACGTTATATGTAAATTATGTCGTGTATTTAAGTATTAGATATCAGTTCCAGAGGAGAGGTTAAAAACTAAAGGATAGAAGTGAGGATTAACGTAAAATAACGTAAAGCTGGGCGAGAGCACTTCGTAGATTATTTTATTAATATTAAGATTGACGATTTATTCAATTAGTTGATAGATTGGATTCGATCTGTTTGGAATGGATTAATTTAGAAATTATCTAGATGATCCGATTTATTATTTCTCCAATTATCTCGTCTACTTCGCTATTGCTCTCATATTTATCAATTGGTGCATTTCTGAACTTAGATTGTTTGTGTCATTGTTGAAACCTGTAAATAAATTATGCTGGTTTGATTATGGCTAATTTTCCTTCCTCTCGTTCACTGATGGTAGGGGAAACCCAAACATCATTATTTAATGAAAATAAAAGTCGACATCTCAAAAACTTACAATTTTTTTTTTTAAAGAAATGCTTTATGTCCCTTTGTCTTCCGTGTTGCATTCTGCATTTTGCTGCTTCATCACGAAGACGACGTAAGAACAGTAAGTACGTTACCTACGAACCTTATTTCTTCAAGATACTGAAGGGCAGTTTCAACAGCCTTTAGTCCCTCACTATGTGGTTTTTTAGAAGTTAGTACGGTGTCCTCAACGTTAAGGTCTTCCTAATTTTTCGTCATTTTTTTCATTTACTGTGACAGCAGCAGAAATTTCTACATCGGACATCCTTCAAAGGTTTGGCCGAGTTACTCGGACTGTCGCGTTATCAAGTGCCAAGTTTCAGTTCCTGCTATGTATCACATGAGCAGGGGGATTATCACCATATAGATACAGCCTTGCAAATTTTAAGTAAATAATGTACATAAAGTAATAATACAAAGTGAGTGGTTACAGAAATTCTATAGTTTCTATTTAATTAGCCCTTGTGATGACTGAGATAACATCACGTAATGGGGCTATGGGTAGCCTAGTGGTTAGAGCATTGGACTCCAGACCGGAAGGCCTGAGTTCGATGCCCGATGCCATCAAATGCCCATCAGTATAAACGGAGAACGTGGATAAATCAATTAGGTCGAATGGTGTCGCCATCTATCGTGTTGTTCGAAACAAAATCGCTCTCTCACCTTCTTGGGGGCTCAAAGCTTAGGCTAACGACAGGCGTAAAATTCTAGCCCTTAGTCGTGATGAATTTCGTGGACCTTGATTTGATGTTACTGTCGATCAGGTGGCATAAGCAACAACACATCACATAATATTTTTATATTGTTTACGAGTGGACCGTGGTATTAAATTAATATTATTATTTCCCGTATAGGTCTTTAATATGCATTATTTCAGCAGATTCTTCCCTTTCTTGGTCTGTTTCAACTTCCTGCAATAATCAGAAATCCATTTCTTTTTTATATTCTACTCATTTGCATTTATAAACCATATTAAGTCATACAACACAGCAATCAAAACCACTAAGTTGCTCTCACAGGGGCCAAACGTAGCTTGTGTTCATAGAAAATATTTTGGAACAAAAGTGGTCGCGCGAGAAACTGAGTTAAAACAAGTACCTAAAGATTGTAAAAAAAAACGTTTGCCACTCCTGAAAAAGAGGGAGATGTGTGACAAATACATTTTCCATGAAGACTGTCATATAGGAAGATACTGGCACTTTTGTGGTAACAAATAAGCAATTTTCCCAGAATTAACGATTTAGAGCGCCTGGGATGACTCTAGTTCCAACTCAGGTTAAAGCTATTTAAAATCTCAGCAGTGCTTAAAAAATTAATTTAAAATATATAGAATTTTGACTTATTTGGCTATTTTACTCATTTGTATCTTTATATGTACAAAAACAAGTAATATATATTTTTAAAAAAATTTAAGTCAATTCTTACTTAGATCAACAAAAAAAATTATATTTTAGTTATTTTTTATTAAATATTTACAATTAATATAAATATGCATATACATATGACAGAATCACAATATTAAGTAACAAAATAGAAAGCGATTTTCATTGCAAGTTTCCATTTTCTTTATATATGGTGTTGGACTACTTTTTGTTTGTTTCTATTTATTCATTTATTAAATTATTCTAATAAAATAGTATAGTAAAAACTATATGATATTCTCTGAAATTAGGCCATCCCAGGAGGGATTCGAGCCCTCTCCCTTTGGATTAGAAATCCAACATGTTATCCCTTGCTCTGCAGGGACAGTACAACCGATTTTCTTTCTATATGCTGTTGGAATTTTTGTTTATTTACTATTTATTCATTTTTAATTTAATTCTAATGAATTAATATTTGAAAAACTGTAGATAACATCAAGTGTCATCCACTTCTAAGTTTAATAAAATGTATTTGAACTTGGATGGATGAATAATGTTTGATAACAGATAGTCTTTTAACAAGATATATACAGAGTGAAATTCGTGAGTGATATAAGTCAGGCAGATATCAAGTGAAAAGAAAACATACCCTCAATAAATACTTTGAACACATTAAGAAGGCATTTAATATTGATGCCCTTATTATAAATACCAGCAGTCCTATCAAGAGATGCAGGATATAACATGTGATATAAGTTAGTAAAATTCTGTATCAAATTACTAAACACAAAAACATTCCTTTTACTCATGCAAGAACTATAATAAAAAGTCTGTGATTATATAACACAAAGATTACAATAATATTTGCAAGAAAATAGACAAATTTCTTGTAAAAGAGCGATAATAACAATACAAATACTTCATCTTTATTTCCTTTTACCCTTAGTTGGTGTATTATAAGAAACGAAAAATGCGGTCCTTATCATTTGAAATAGATTTTAAATTTTAGCATACGTTCACAAACCATTAAAGTTAATTAAAAGATTAGCATAATTTACATTCACAAAGTGTATAACAAAATTAAACAAATAAGATCTTTTTCACTAACCCGTTGTGATTCTGAAATGCAACTATATAATAAGATGCTTCTCTACTCTGCCGTTCATCCTATCATGACTTACGCCTGCCTGTGTGGGGATATGCACCTAATACTTATATTAAAATTCTTGAAGGCTCTTAAACCTTTAATTTGAAATATTACTAAAGTAACTCATTATACGAAATAAAGACATCTATAAAGCAATAGATATTTTACCTTTAAAAATTACATTTCAAAATTGGCCAGAAAATTGTAGCAACTAACATTAATAGTATAAACATTCAAATCTTAATAATTATTATCAGAGCCTAATGTTAAAAGACCCAGGAGAATTCTCTTAGTTCTTATAATCCCCCTAACAGTAATCAACTAGTCACTCTGGTGGTAGTGACCTAATAAGTTTTATCTGCTTTAACTTTTATTTCAATAGTTTATTTCTGCCATTTCCCACAGGCTAACTTTTCGGAGCCCCATTTCTCAAGTTCCAACGTTTCAATGCAATAACAGAGTACCTGCTCACAGAGACCCATCAGCCAATAGTGGCAATACTCGAAAGAATACAAAATCATCTCTCGCTGGCCTTCCTAAATCAGTTCACTATGCGCCTCAGCCTAAGTACAGCCAGCCAATCAGGGCCACACTTCAATCAAGGCCCTCAACAGCAGGCCACATTCAACAGCAGATATTTGATGGAGGAACGCTTCGTGTTCCATTTTCAATGAGCATCAGCGTCCTTATATGCACTAAGATATAATTTTTAATAATACTTTGATATAATTCAATTATGCACCTGTCAGATAAAAATTTGCTGAAAAATTTTAAATGCATAACTGGTTTTTATGTATACGCATTATTTTCGTATAATAACATTTGTTTCCCTTTTTACAACGTAAGAGAAAAAATAAATAAAATGGAATATTTGTGTGACTCGTCGTATTCTCTTCCTTCGGATATGCCTCGGGATAAGAAAGAAATATTCAAAACCAAAAACGATATCGAAACCAGGCCACAGATATAGGAAAACAAAACTATTACCTATTCTTGTGTGCATATATAAAAAGCTTCGTATGTGTATAAAAATTAAAAATAAAACATTGATGTTACAGAAAAACAAGGAAAAGTTTCAAGAGCAGAATACATTCTGAAACAAAGCTACAGTGATACAGAAAAAAAAATCTTTTTCTTATTTACCTCTTAAAATGTGGGATAACAAAATGAATTAATTTTTAAGTCACGCACACGTATCTTAGATTCTCTTATCAGATATTGAAAAGATTTTTTTCATGAAAAATGTTTGCTTTTCTCAAGAAAAACAGGAAAATGACATATCTGTGATTTTAAAGCTAGTTAGTTCAAAGTGAACATAAAAATTCACTGCACGATAATACTGATTATTATTATAACTGTAACCATATACAGTCGACTCTCCATAATTCGAAGTTGGAGAGACCAACGAAAACTGAGCTTATCAGGGTAGAAAAACACTCTGAAACAGACGCAAAGAAATTTTTCCTAAAACGACTTTAAAATTTGAACTATAAAACAATTATACATGTAAAATTTTAAAATATTTTAAAAGTACATATTATACAGTAAATATTATGCAAGTTGATCATGTATTAAAGATACATTCAATACATGCATACAATCCTACACATCTCTTCTTCACTAATAGGACCATCCTTCTGAACACATGTGTATGAGACCATGAGTAAGCGAAAGATATGGACGGCGGACAACAATGTAGTTGGTCTATTGTCCACTTGAAGAAAACTATAAAAGTGTCTTTTCGCCTGAACCGAAAACACAAAGAAGGGTAGAGATGGTCTTCAAAGGGGCTGATTTCAGGTAAGACACGAAAAGACAATACAACGCAAAACTTATGAAACCAACCTATTTGCTACTGGGACTGTGCGTGATAGTGAATGATTGTCGAGTTTATAAGATTTCAGATTATCATGCTGTAGTCTGGCCAGCCGCAGATTTTACTTCGAAATATTGAGTGTGCCAAAACGTATTGTTTTAGTTCGAATTATCACGAGTTTTTCAAGGGACTGAGCAGATACTTCGATTTATTGTGAGGTTCGTATTATCGAAGGTTTGATCATCAGTCGGTGTATACGTTCATTAATGGGATATTAAATTTCTATAAAAATAACTTAATACTAAACAATGTACAGAAGTAAAACAAGACAGTATAGGCCACCAGGGATGTTTTAAGCAGAGGGGGGGGCACCTAAATGAGCCTGCTTCGCAGGTGGCGCCTCGCTCTCTACTAAGCCTCAATAAAATCATGATCCTAATCATTTTAATTTTCAAATCTTATTTCCGGACACATTCTCAGAAAAATGAAGAATTTCAAACTATATGTTAAAAGGCAACAGCGGCCAGACTGCATTTTTATGCCATTTATGTCATCTGCGTCTAGTCATAGGCTTACCACCATGCATTATCAATACTGATTTTATCGAAAGACAGCAGTTAGTTGATTCGTGCCTAGGTTTGTGAGATTGTGAGTCATGCACATTTATTTGTGACGGGTTCCCATTTGTACGAATATGTGACAAAGTATGCCACATACTGTCTGGTCCAAAAGGTTCGCAGGTGAGGCTTACTTTTGCATAGGATCCAAGAACTTCAAGAAGTCCTCAGACGCCATTGGTGGCCACAGAAATGTATTATCAAACACTTATTCACAAGAACTGTTATATGGGGGACTAATTGAAAGTATTTGTTAAAATCTTCAATAAGTCAATCCTCATAATTGTTGAACACAGTCTCATCGTTTGGGCAATTGTAAGAGGTGGGCATTAAGTCGCGATCGACCGGTGGATCTAAGACATTTAGGTGACCGCCTTCACTGCAACAATAATCGTTCCATCACACGAAGGTCTGGAAAATACCTTATTCATTTCGAATCTAAGCCGCCGTCGATTCTAAAGCAGCGCCTCCAAATTCTCAACAAGATTCTGTAGAAAACTGAAAAATAGTCTAAAATTAATTTATCTATGTCAATTTTACGAAATTAAAATTTAAAGGAAAACTAAAAGAAGTGAATAATTAGTTATTTTGTGCATTAAAACTTTCAATACATGCATGAAGCTGTAATTGCTCTAAATACCCCATCAACACATTTCCCCTACGATTCTAAGCCGCCTCGATTTTAGTAGCATTAACATTGGTAAAAAGTGCGGCAGATTCAGTAAATACAGTATTTTAAAAATAAGAGAAAAATCATATCATAAGAAAATTTAGTTGAATAGAAAATACACTTCGCCATTTGGGCTATTTTGCAGTGCCAATCGTAAAATATTCTTAATTCCGCGAAAAAGTTCGCAGTAGAGAAATTCAAAATGAGGAGGTTCTAAATAAAATGGTGGTTCGACTGTATTGCATACTTCTTTTGATCCACTACCTGCATACTGGATGAACCGCAACACCTTGAAAAATTAGCCCGTAACCTGGAAAAGTCACTTACCCTGGTGTAGAACATTCGAGATAATAACTAGATCTTGAAGGAGTTCAGCTCTGTTTCTTGAAAACATTTTCTTTGAGAAATCTTTTAGTGATCTAAAATCATATGAAAGCCCTACTGCGGCAAATTCAGGCTGTTTTCTAGGTGTTCCAACATTTTCCCAGCGGAATTTGGGAGTGGTTGTGTGAGGGCTTCACGGAGATGTGTGATCGGGAGTTACCAAGAAAAAGCTTCCATTGCTGTGAGAGAAGGTAAGGCCGTTTGCTTTAGAGTGAAATTTCGTGAATATGCAATTGTCATGCACTGTGAAACAGGGAATGGGTCAAAGTATTCACCGTAATGAAGAAAACCTTCCTACTGCGCTCAGTTCGGTTATGAATGGATCCATCTTTGCTGGGACACCTCATTCCTTTGGGCTCACCAGCAGGTTAATTGGCTACATGCAAACTGCAATATAATCCTTAAACAATCTCTGATAACCCTAAATGGTAGCGCTGCTTTATTGGTGTTTCCTTTATGAAGTTATCCATCTTATACAGAGCCCTAAGGCAGTGACAGCTTTAGAAAAAGTGATAGTTTCTATTTTGGTTCATGGACTTTTTTCTTATTAAAACAGGTCTCATGTTCTTGGTTATCTATTTCAGAATTTAAGCTCCTTCTGATTTGTTGGGAATTTAATCTATAACATCATTCTTTTGATTTATATTATTTTGTACATTCCAAATGAGAGTTATTAAAGAGATTTAAATGATAATTTAAATTTGGATAAGGAAAACCAATTATAATAAAAAAAAATTTAATAAGAATATAAA